GGAGGGGGGGGGGGGGAGGGGGCTGGGCCTAGAGCGGGGGGGGAGGGGTCAACTGGAACGGCTCCACCTTCACGTTGACCTGACCTCGCAGGATAATCGTCGGGGTCGTGTGTCACCGACTGGAGCTACGGCGCCGACGTCCGTCCTGTGACAAATCGTTCTGAAGATGTTTTTAGTCAAGATAGATTTACATATATGGACAAACATACAAGCATAAATATACATATACACAAATACACATGTATACAAATGTATAAAAACTGTAATACAAGCTGCAGAAATACTGGTGTCAGAGGTAAAAACGACAGATGTCCGACATTAACTTTTTACCGATATTGTCCAAACACTTAATTTCCAATTCCGATATTAACACGATACCGATATAGGCCTGGTAATATTTATTTAATTATCTATACAAACTACTATACGAGTATGAGACTAATTAAATGACCTGCAATGCTGCCATCTAGTGACTTTCACTTTAATATACAGCCGTTTTTCCCCAAAATTATATTTATGGCACACATCATTTGGCCAAACCCAGGCATTGCATTATGGGGTTTTCATTTTCAGAAGAAAAAAACGATAATGATTCTTACAGATGAGCATAAATATACATATACACAAATACACATATATACAAATGTATAAAAACTGTAATACAAGCTGCAGAAATACTAGTGTCAGAGGTAAAAACGACGGATGTCCGACATTAACTTTTTGCCGATATTGTCCAAACACTTAATTTCCAATTCCGATATTAACACGATACCGATATAGGCCTGGTAATATTTATTTAATTATCTATACAAACTACTATACGAGTATGAGACTAATTAAATGACCTGCAATGCTGCCATCTAGTGACTTTCACTTTAATATACAGCCGTTTTTCCCCAAAATTATATTTATGGCACACATCATTTGGCCAAACCCAGGCATTGCATTATGGGGTTTTCATTTTCAGAAGAAAAAAACGATAATGATTCTTACAGATGTTACATAATTATGCTAATATCGCTAATTAAAAACGGACGTTAGCACCGACGTTATAACTAAGGACGGTGGAGTCCAGTCTGGATCAGGTCCTGTGGTGGTGACGTTACAGGAACCTGTGAAGTGAGAGTTCAGAACTCAGCATCTGTGGGGGGGGGGGGGAGGGGGGATCAGGAGGGGGAGTAAATATATACTGTAGGGTAAATATTGTCTCTGTTTAAAGCAGGTCCTCTTCGTTTGCCCTCCACTCAGCGTGTTGCCCCAGAGGCGGCTGATTTACTGAGGTGGTGACCAGGCCACAGGGCTACATTATTGACACTGTTCCTCCTGACATTCAGTCAGTGGAATGTGTGTTTGTTTGAGGGGCGGCCGAACTGGGGTTGGTTTTATTTGCCTTAGCCCTGTTGTCTTAGCGTTAGTTCCACCACCAACAGGGATCCGCTGCTGTTTATTTGGACACCGACTCTGACCTTTGACCTGTCCAAATGGCTGTGTAATCCCAGTTGCAGCTCCTGTGGGGTGGTGCCTTCCTCAAACACTGCCTCCCTCTGGACCAAAAAGGGAAACTTCTCAACGTAACACAGGTCTGACAATACCATAGTAACAAGGGTTAGTCAAAAAGTTTTGAGACTAAGTCTTAGTAGTGTTTTCCAATATTTAAAGTCACAGCACATACTTGACATTAGAAAAAATAAATCTCCCACAGTGCACCACCACCACCACCAAAGAACATTAACGTATATGTGAAATATAACGATCTTGTAGTTACTGTGTGAAACCCGCGCCTGTTTAGTTGAACACAATACTGATATACTCACAGGAATTGAAGAAAGACACGTGAAGATCTTCTGCAACAAGCTTCCAGACTCTTGTTTGATTTCTATAGCAATCTGCTGCCACCTAGTGGAAGAATATATAATTGTTCTACCAATCACTGTCACATTGTATAAATAATAGATTTTTCTTTTTACACAAATTAAGTGAAATTTGATACATTTTACCCAGAGGGTCAAAATATATATCGTAGAAATATATCATCTTCATGGACTTTTCTGTTTCTTCAAATGTAACAAGAAAAAAAAAAGCAGAAATATATCATCTTCGTGGACTTTTCTGTTTCTTCAAACGTAACAAGAAAAAAAACAAAACAAAAACAATACACCTTAGTGACAAATGGGTTAAAAATCAGACACTTTTTTGTTTGTTTGTTTGTTTGTTTTTTTCAAAAGAATACTTTATATTGTAGATGTCAAAGACAACATGTTAAGAGCAAAGTTTCCCAAGAAATGTTTTACTTTTCTGTAACAATGTTGAAACAAGTCAAAAACATAACTGATAAAAAAAAAAAAAAAGAATATGAATTTTATACACATGTAAACCTAGTGTTTGTATCGGAACCACAGTGGTCATAGTGATAACTGGCTTCTTAAACTGGAATGGACAAGAGTAACAATGAGCTGCAGTTCTGTTTGAATCAGACGGCCGTGGAGACACATGGTCCGGTGGACCGGGTGTCCCGTGAAACCGTTCACCTTTCTCTATAAATACGATAAAAATCTAGTATCTTTGTAACAAGTGCTAGACACTTTTTGTTGGAAAATATTTCAGCTTTTCAGACTCCATATGGTACAAGTGAAAACAACAACAAGAGAGAGCAGAAGAGACGAGGACAGTTCTGATCCGGTCTAAGTACCAACATTCTTCAGTGCTCGGTCCCATATGAGACTCAGACAGACAGGTAGGAAGTGCATGCAGACGTATGGATCATGCAGAAAGAAAGAGGAATGAAGTCGCAGCAGGCAGGATAAATAAACAGACCGGGCCGGACTGGAGCGAGACGGTCAGAACAAAGAGGCCGGGGCCCCTCCCCCCTTTTCAAATGAATGGAAAGTATAAGTAAATGGAATGTCACTGTGTGTTTTTTTTTTTTTGTGTTTGCAGACCTCGCGTGAAGACCGACGGAGGAGACGGGCAGCCAGAGTCGACGCAGAGTGCTAGTTTTGGCCGCTCTGGAGGAATCAAAGCACTGAGGAGAAACCCAACAACTGGCACTGGTGTGGGAAGGTTCTGGGAATGTTCTGGGCCGGGTCAGCTTCTGATCAGCTGCACTTAAGATCACACAGATGTCAGAGAGTCACAGCTGAAGGCCTGGCAGGACGCCAACACTTACAGTTTCACATCCTAACCACCAGGACCTGTGGACTAATGACGTCCAACCTCAAGGTGGTCGGATCCGATTGTCCTAAAAATAAAAAGAAACTTGTTTCCAAATATACAGAACATCAGTGATCATTGTTTTAAAAATGCTACTAAATGGATTACGAAATTCCTTCCTACATTATTATGTTATTTTGCATTTAAAAGTGAAGACGTATAAAAAAATGTCTTTGATTAGTTGGACAAGAAAGGATGTTATGATGAAGACAAAAAAAACCAGAATAAACTGCCTGAGGCCATGCAGTTATAACAGCTGCCCACTTGGGGCAGTACAGCCCAGAATTTCCAACTTTTTTTTGTTAAACTCTGATTTCTTCATGTCATTTCCCCCGTTAAATTCACCAACAGGGGCGTTTGAATTTCCCACTGTACGTGAACTGCACCGCGGAGCACCTGGAGGTTAAGAAGAGAACTGACACCTGCCCAAATGTCGCTGGGATACACAGGGGAGTGGTTCAAAACAGGGGTTCTCAACCTCTTTACAGTAGATTTCAGAAGGTTGCCAGCTAGCTTGAGGGCATGGTCGCAGTATTTCTGTGTAAATGGTACAAAGATACTGCAGATATGAGTCAGAAGGTTGCTAGCCAGCCTGAGGGCATGGCCGCAGTATTTCTTTGTTGAAATGGTACAAAGATACTGCAGATATGATATCTAAAAAATGAACAAAACTTTGTTGTTGCTGCAAAATATTGTGTGGACCGCCAGACTAAATTCCATGGACTCCGAGAGGCCTGGGAACTCCTGGTTGAGAACCACTGCTTCACAACCACAGAAGCTGCTCCGAGGGTCAGATTTATGACTTTGTTAAAGATCGGTTTGACCAGAGGGAATGGAAGGAATCGAAAGGAATGCTCTTCAAAATAAAACAAAGTTTTCAGCAATTAAAAAAAAAACTGGAACCATTCCAGGAACAATTAGTGCAGGACAAGAACCTAAAGTATAATCATTTATACCAGAGTCCACAGTCGAAGGTGAAGAAACTGGCCGCTTTTAAGAATCCATCCAAACCAAAAACAGAAAGATTCTAATGAGTTCATCTCTCCGACAAAACAAACCCTGAAAGTCTGGAGCAGGATTGGCCGAGGTCCGGTACGGTACCAGTGTCACGGCGCTGAACGACCGCACCGTCATCAGTGTTCAGGGACAAACAGAGAGAGAAATGCTACTTAACACACATTAGTGTAACCAAGTTCCGCAAACGGTGCCTTCAGGGACACCGGGAAAACACCGGAAAAACACCGGGAGAACGGGGCCAGGTGTAACTGTTGGATACCGACTTACAAAAACAATATCGTAGTATTTCAGTATGTATAGATATACAGTATATATAATATAGCCATTTCTTTTCATATAAATCTAATATTAACAGACAGTAAATACACAATTTGTCAAAAATGAAGAGAGAGAGAGAAAAAAAAAAGAAACAGCAGAAAAGTGTAGAAAAGAACAACGACATGAGTCAAGTCCACTGAAGGTGAAGACAGTGAGAAGATCAACCAGAGTCAGTGGATCATGAGCCGGGGGCAGAACACTCGTCTGTACAGTAAACATCACTCAACACCACAGCACTGGTTCTGTTCAATAATGATAAAAAAAAATATTTTCAGTTTGTCCCGTAAAAAGCAGACAGTAAATTCTCTGGTCAGACACATTCAAGAAGGGTCTGAAAAAAAATTTAAAAAATTTAAGTTGTCAAAAAGAGCTGTAATGTTTGACTGAATCAAGAGAAAAAATATAAGTGTGTGATGTTTCCCAGCAGTGTGTGTAAATTACAACACGTACATCGACTGTGTATTAGAGCAACGACCAGTGGGTGGAGGGTTGAACTACAGGAAACACATCACACTGGACGTGCGCGAGAATTAGTCAAAAAAATGTAATCTTGATTAGGGATGTAACGGTACACCGAACTCACGATACGATTTTATCAAGAAAATTACTTTCACCAAAATGATCCTTTCTTTGTCTGTAAAATCCCATCACCGACTGACCTGGTCTGTGAACCTCATCAACTGACACTGTTCTCTTCAATAACAGAAGAGGAAAAAGAAAAAGTGACATTTCTGTCCAGAAACTCTGGAACATCACCATTGATCTGCTCTGGTTAAACTGGTCAAACTGGTCTGGTTGACCTGGTTAACTGTCAATAAATGAAACAACAACAGAAGAAGAAGAGAAACAACAGGAAGTGGAAAGAGTTCCACTGGAGAACACTGTTGGTGTCTGTGGAACAAGTTCTTCCCACGTTCTGTGATGACGTCTGGGTTTAATAACGAGTCACTACCGACGCTTTTAGGTCCATACTGCCACCTAGTGTATTAGAGTGTGTAGTGTCATGGTATGACCAGTGACTTTTTAAGGGTAACTCAGCCTACTGCTACTTTTTTTAATTTGTCACTCGATTTTTAACCGATTGACGAAGCATCGTTACATCCCTAATCTTGATTAAATTCTTGGTGAACATGTGGGTTAGCGTTCTTTCCTTACAGCAGATCACTGGTCCCTTGTTCGATGCCTGCTCTCTCAGTATATTTTGCACGTTCTCCTCCTGTGTCTGGATGTTTTTTTTTCCTGGTTTTCTAGCACGGGGTCTTGGATGGTGCCGGTTCATGAAGGTTCACGGTTCGATTTCACTAACTCCCCTAACTTGGTTGTGTCAGAAAAGGGCTGAAAATAAACTGTGAAGACGAGGGATAAAATCGATTCTAAATTCACTTCCCGCCCTTTTACCATACGTAGATGATGGTATAAAAAAAAAAGAGGAATTGTTTTGAACAACAGACAGTCCTAAAGAGCAGACGTGATGAGAGTCCGTCGTCGTGTTCGGTCTGGAGGACGTCGCTCACGTGAGGCCCTTTGGTTGGAAATGTTCTCAGAGAATTTCAACAGAAATCTTGGTAAACACGTGGATGTTTAGACGGAGCAGCTGCTGCTTCAGTGTGTGTGTGTGAACAGATGAACACACACACCTGCCTGACACCTGACATTTGTTGCGCAGATGTGTTTAAAAAAAAAAAAAAAAAGGAGTAAAACGTTGAAGCAGCTGTGGGTGAGCGTCGGTCTGGTTCCTGTCCTGGTCTGGACCAGACCGCGGACCATCCGCAGCCCTCGTGGATCCAGAGACGGTTCGGTGATTACCGACGCCCAGAGCTTCTCTCTTCTTTATCTAAAATCTTTCGTCTTATGATACAAATTGTACAAAACATTTTGAAAAATATTCTCCCCTCTGTCAAACTCAACAGTCAAACAAAGACACGACGGTACGATGGGACGACTCCATGTCGACTTCCTCTCCGCTCTGAGTGGACGACACTCAGAGGATGTTTTTTTTTCTTCCAGAAAATCTGTTTAAGTACGAGTTTAGGACGAATGAGAAACCCACTGTTTTTTTTTTTTCCATTTTTCAAAGGCACAAACTCTCGTCATCGTTTCTGTTCTTCTGCCTCCGTGATCTTCTCTGACCATCCTGGAAAAAAGAAAGCGGGGAAACTGAAGCACTTTGTTCTCCTCATGTTGATGTCTGTGTGGACCGACCAGTCCTCAGTGCAGAGACACAGTC